GGATCAAGAGGGAATTTTTCCCCCCTAGTCTGTTGCAAAACTGGAAGTGCTTCAAAGTTCATGATGATTGTGGTTTACCTGCCGCGGTGGAGATTCTCATACAGGAGCTTCAAGTAACCTTCCAAATATTGCACCAACATAGACTACTTCCTGGTTAAATGCTTTCACATTTCATTTTGAGATTCTTAAATGCTTTCTGGAAATGTAAAATACATTTATTTATTTTTTTATGTATAAAATAAGAGTATCTGAGAAAAAAAAAACAGCTTTCACGAACAATTCACAGAAATGTTTATTTTTGCTCAAACTGCAAATGAATGTAATGCGCCATTTGTGGGCCAATTTGCAGGTATGTGCATGTGAAGTCTATGTACGTCTCCTATTTGATGCAGAGTGGCGATAAGTGACATCTTTATTCTGTGTCAAACTTGCCTTCTGCCACCTCGCCAGATTTGTCTCGTGTAGGCCTTGCGTCTGGCACCTCTGTTTAACACCATTACGTTTCTGTTAAAAAATTGTGATTTAGAAAAACGTGCAAAACGGCTAATGGATGCAAACACCTTATTTTAAAATCAGCCAAAAAAGCATTAAAGGGACATACACAACTGAGCAAGCCAAGTCTTCTTTAACCCCTTAAGGACACATGACATGTGTGATATTTCAAGATTCCCTTTTATTCCAGAAGTTTGGGCCTTATGGAAAATGCATTAACTATGGGCACAAAGTGATTCTTTCATCTGTCACAAAGGCCACATATTTAAACTCTCGGGAAACCAGGAATAGACTCAGCCAATCATCACTGAGCTTGATAATATACCGGGAGAGATTTAGAAGAGAATCCAATAATGGTTAGAATTTTTGGGAACGTAAAGTGAATTCATAGTGGTATTTATTATTTATTTTCTCACTCTTTTAATGGTTTTTATTTTATTTCCAGACAGCAGGGGGAGTACTTGTCATTACAGGCACTCCCTCTGCTGGCAATACCTTGAACGGCTATGCCATCCATGTGATCGCGAGGTCCTTGCGATCACATGGCCCAGGGGGGCCGAAGAGGATGGAGGGGGACTCCCTGGGCTCCCAGCTAAGTTACCATACCAAGATTTTGGTGTATAGATCATGCCCCTGCAGTCTCACTGCTCAATTCTCTGCCATTTAGGAGTTAAATCCCTTTTGCTTCTCTTTATGCAGCCTTGGCCACACCTCCCCAAGCTGTGACTGACACAGTCTGCATGAAACAAATTGATTCATTTTCAGACTTTAACTTACTTTATAATATTTTGTCTCCTGCTCTGTAAACTCTACTTTAATCACACATGAGGCTCCTGCAGAGTCTAGAAGGCTATTAACAGAGACAGACCCAGGGTAGTCACCCTCCTGCACCCTCCTGCATCTAAAAGGTAGGAAACAGGAGGGTGACTAAAATGTTTTGTATTTGTGTGTGTTTGTTTGTATGTGTGTGTGTGTGTTTGAATGTTTCTCTGTATGTGTGTGTGTATGTCTGTCTGTGTGAGTGTGTGTATATGTGTGTGTTTGTATGTATGTGTCTGTATGTATGTATGTATGTATGTGTTTGTATGCATGTGTGTGTACAGAGGCACGTCACTCAAGGGGGCCCGGCTGCCCTGCAGACCCCTGCGACCAGGTGCCCGCCACCATGTGTTGTGGCCCCGGCCCGCGCAGTGTAACTGGCATGGGGGGGATGGATCAGTTTTTGCACCGGAGCCCCATGGATCGTGTGTACGCCACTGTCTAGAGGACATGGAATAACAGAATACGAGAGGAAGGACAATGTGTCTGAGGAGTAAGTGGTCTCCAGAAAGAACCCCTACATCTGCCCCATCATTCTCCCCCTCTCTGAGACCTCACCAATACCATGAACGCTCTGTCTGACCGCCAATATGGCAGACCCCACGTATCTTATCTGAAACCGCCATGCAAACAGAGTCGGATTAAGCAGTTTATCGCTATTACCATGAGTTGAGCAGTAACCGGCTGCATGCTCTGATCTTTGATTCAGGAGTGAAGCTACATAATGAGTATAACGTGAAGAAATGAATGCAGGTCTCCAAAACCTAATGATCCGCACATTGTTCTCATTGTGCCCATCTGATGGGTATATTCAGGATGTTTGACCGCAATACGCAGGAGATGTCCGTGTCCACTTTATCTCCACTCAACCATTAGACTCCTACAAAGTATAGCATAAACCGTGATATTAAATAATTACTGAACGAACGCTATTTGGACCATATATCCAGTCAGAGGTGGAGATCCCCAAGAACTCCAAATGAACAGCATGACTGAACATGAGGGCAATTTAAAAAACAGCTCCAAATTGTGATTTCATCCCCCAGCCTCCGTTATAGCCACCTTCACTCCCTGCGTGTGACGCGGGTATCGCGAATATCCCTAACGTACAAACTGTGAGGAATCCGTTACCCAGACACCACCCAAACTGCCATAACACGGGGCGTTAATATATGCTCCCTGGTAAAATATTTTATAAACAAATTAAAAAACAGACCTGGGTTAAATCCTGCTTCCGGAATGGTTTCTTTGTTAATATTAATGAAGACCTGGGTTCTGCCACTGGCATCAAATCTTTCCTATTAGAGTGCAAGTTCTTTGGCTCATACTGTTGATCATAAAATAAAGATCATTTTTATTTCTCAGGGTTATTTACTAAATTGTGAATTGTCAGGAATTCAAACTGAATTTCAAATTTAATGACAAAATATCTGAAGTGGATAGATTCTCCAAGTCCTCTATGATTTTAGTTTAATTATTGTGGTCTAAAATGTGAAATTCACTTTGAATTGTGGCAATTCTCATTTGAATGAATAACCCTGTCTGTGTATCTGCCCACAGAGCTCGCACTCTTTTTTGTCTGTTAACATTGTCTCTTTTTCTCTCTTTTTTTCCTTGAGCCTGTGCTGAGGCTGGGTGGCAACGACCATAGCCACTAAACAGTTACTGTGATGGGATTTCAACATGGTTCAAAATTTAGTAGGCCTGAAATCTCCATGTGGCATATACAAGTACAGGTGTTTGTTGTATCTGTTAGTTAGTTACATGTAGCTAAGATACTGTCATCAATGTACTGAGCATGTGCATCAACTGTAGTCACATTGCTTTGTCCTTAAAAGGAGTCATACAGTCTGCCCATATTAGGTGATCCTGAATATCCTGTTCACTGATTGCTCTAAGGGTATGTGTGAGTGGCGCTATGAATGGGAGGAGTTATTGTTAATAAATAGCCTGTGCAAACTATGCTCTGGGCTCATACCTTTTGAACACAAGTTCAGTGTGAGACCCGATCGGTGTGTCAATAAAAGACCTGTTACTTCCTGAAGACTTGTGTCCATATCTCTATGTGTGGCTTCTGCGGTTTGTTCCTGTTATTCCTCCGGTAACATTACTTTTATTCCCCGCTTTGTGAGAAAACCGATCAATTGATAAGAATTTAGTCTTTGCCCTATTTACTTGCAAAACAGTCAATATTTTCCTCATAGACATTTGCAATATTCATGTCCGCAATAATCCTGGGAAGACATTAAATTCTATGGCTGGATATAAATTATTCCAGAATAACGCACACACTCCAGCACGTGCACAGCGTCAAAGATAATTAAATACAGCACACTAAGACAACCTTGAAGAACTAACTACCAAAAACGGGCTGCCCCAGGCTATTTGGATAAAAGGGATCTGTGAAGGTTAACAAAACGGGGTCTCCAGAAAATATTAATGGACTTTGTATCTCAGAACCTTTCTTCGTGATCATTACCAGATAGAATCGCTAACTGAAACTTACTGATTAACTGTACTCTTTTTATTTTCTAATTAAGGCTGTGTTTTCGTTCTTCATGGCTGGTGTGACAAAACCTGATATTTTATTACCAATTACAAATGTTCCAATGAATCCCTGATTGCGGCCATTTGACACACGTACACTCAGAGAATCATGGGAAAATGCCCGCTTCCTTTAAAGGATTATACAGTTCTTTTGATTGGATGATTACAAATGGAGCTTTCACCCACATTATCACATGCATGTTTAAAATATAACTATATGTCTTATCTTTCAAACATGAGGGTCTTTACTATATTATACAGCGCTGCTGCATGTGTTGGTGTCATTTATGAGATGATAATGTTTTTTTGTTTGTTTTCTACAAACTAAGACTGATATTTATGTATTTCAAGTGATATCTGATAATAATTTAAGCTAATACCAGAAATGATTGGGAAGGAAAACCAGTCGCCAGATAATGCATTCTTTTAAAAACTCTAGCTTGCTTTTCGAGGTTAACTGCAGGGACTATTTTATGAAAATGCCACTTTCATGAGAACTCAGCACTTTTATAATTCCCCTTAGTGACAGCTGTTGTGTCCTGTCTCAGTTGCTTTGAAAAATATCTGAAAGCAGAAGTAGGGCTGTTCACACAATAGTATTGGTTTCAATCCTTCTCTGTGAGAAGTCTCTGATTGGGCCCAAGTCATTAGTAATTGTGACCTCACAAGAGGTGGAGCTACAATGAGGAGACTCTACTAGAGATGGCTTAAAGTGACATCACTAGATTTTAACTGGTTCATTGCTGAAATGTAGGGGAAGCAGTAATCCAGTAACAGTTTACAAAATACTGCAAATAAATATATTGATTGGATTAGCCGTATTAGTCCAGTAGACAAGATGCCAAAATCCCATAGTATTGCAGTATGCAATGATACCTTTTTTATTGGACTAACATAAAATTTCAAAGACAAGCTTTTGAGCATTTTCCGCAGGTCTGAAGCAATACAGATCAATCTGAACACTTAAAACAACTGATGTTGAGGAGGGGGTGGAGGGTGGGGTGAGTGGGGTGTCATAAATAGCAGAAGATGTGCCTGAAAGTGAAAGGTTGGCTGAGAATTGCATCATACAGTGCCATTCTGTGTGATCTTCGTACAGTGCCATTCTGTGTGATCGTCGTACAGTGCCATTCTGTGTGATCTTAGTACAGTGCCATTCTGTGTGAGCGTCGTACAGTGCCATTCTGTGTGATCTTAGTACAGTGCCATTCTGTGTGAGCGTCGTACAGTGCCATTCTGTGTGAGCGTCGTACAGTGCCATTCTGTGTGATCTTAGTACAGTGCCATTCTGTGTGAGCGTCGTACAGTGCCATTCTGTGTGATCTTAGTACAGTGCCATTCTGTGTGATCTTCGTACAGTGCCATTCTGTGTGATCTTCGTACAGTGCCATTCTGTGTGAGCGTCGTACAGTGCCATTCTGTGTGATCGTCGTACAGTGCCATTCTGTGTGATCGTCGTACAGTGCCATTCTGTGTGATCGTCGTACAGTGCCATTCTGTGTGAGCGTCGTACAGTGCCATTCTGTGTGAGCGTCGTACAGTGCCATTCTGTGTGATCTTCGTACAGTGCCATTCTGTGTGAGCGTCGTACAGTGCCATTCTGTGTGAGCGTCGTACAGTGCCATTCTGTGTGATCTTCGTACAGTGCCATTCTGTGTGATCTTCATACAGTGCCATTCTGTGTGATCTTCGTACAGTGCCATTATGTGTGAGCGTCGTACAGTGCCATTCTGTGTGATCTTCGTACAGTGCCATTCTTTGTGAGCTCCTGTTCTGTGGTCAATTTGCTGCGGACCAATCTCTGCCTCACGTAAGGCGGTTGTTTGAATGCTAGTATGGGGGGGGGGGCTCAGGAAATATTTCTGTGAGTGTGGGGTCCTCCGAAATACTGTTTTTGGTTGGGGTAACCCTTAAAGTCCAACAAACGTCAAAAACTGAAAAAATAAGAAACCCGGGTTTACTGCAAACAGGATGTGATCTTTAATAAGCCGGCAGAACCCCAGGCTCTGAGGTTACTGGTGGGCTAGATGTAAAATCTGCACATTAAATGCCTTTATAAAGTTCAATGGATTTTGCGACATAAACAGGGGAATCCCTTGACATTTCCAATGAAATTGCAGATTGTAAACTTCTGTATAAACAGGTCAGAGAGTTACTACATCACAAGAAAATCCAGTAACAGAACGCATTGCCCGTATTCTTCCAATTTCCACCCAACGACATCGCCGAGAGATGAATGCTTTACAATGAAGATTAATATGTTCAATTTTCAGGAAAACATTTATTTCTCCATCCATCTTCAAACTACAAAGCAGAAAATCTCCCACTGGGAGCTGAATGTACACTCCATTAATAAGAGGGAGCGGCGGCCCCAGGTTCTGTGACCTAATATCCCGTTAGCGTGGGACATCAGCATATTTCTAATGGTAAAAGTGTCACTTTAGGTGTTTAACTCTTTCATTCACTCAGAAAGCAGGGACAGACAGATGGAGAGATTACACAGAAATAGATATAGGCCCCATTGCTGCCAGAAAGGTTTTACCTCCCAACACCAGCTTTTTAATTATTCTTTTCGGATAGTGGGGATATACTTTCTTTTCTATTTTATTTTTTAGTCTCGTTCAGCTTTAGAGCGTCCTAGGCGTGTCTCCTCGGGTCCTTGAACATGCATGCTTTTATGCTTCTGCAATCTGCAAACCTGCAAGGGTTAATGAGCCAGGTATCGTCAGTGCAGACAATTTACTATACTGTAAATTCAAAGTAATTTCCAAATCCATTTTCAAAGAAAAGGCATTGTTTACATTGCTCCCAAGGGACACTTCCATTGACTGCCATTTAGAAGGCCACTAGAGGTGCTTCCTGGGTCAGTGCTGCACAATGTGATGAACCTTATTGGCGAAACGTGCCCGTCAGGGGCTCCTGGTGCTTCTCTCTAACACTCGAGTTATGTCATTGATTATAGGATCAGTATTAACCAGACTGATCCCCCGCCTGTCACTACAGCAACAAATCTTACAAATCTCAGCCGCATGCGCAACATTATATCTCTCAAGCCCTTCACGCTCCTGATACAAATTGATATAATAACAAAGTGTTTAACCAGGGAAGGTACATTCAGAGATTCTCTGGTTTCCATGTACGTCCTGGGGGGGTTAATACATATACTGCTAATTATTATTGACTGTGACTTTGTTCGTGTTTTCTACTGATATATGTTTGGTTTCTCGCAGTTATATAGACATATCTGGAATGGATTAGAACTAATTAGGTACAACTGCCTGGCCAAAAAAAAGTTGCCATCTGGATTTAACTAAGCAAATAGCTAAGAGCCTCCTACTGTGTGTGAGGGTGCGGTTTGTGTGTGTTTGTGTGCGCTTGTGAGGGTGCTGTTAATGTACTGTGTGTGAGGGTGCTGTTTGTGTGTGAGGGTACTGGTAGTGTGCTGTGTGTGTGTTAGGGTCCTGTTTGTGAGGGTACTGTTAGTGTGCTGTGTGTGTGTGAGGGTGCTGTTTGTGTGTTTGTGAGGGTGCTGCACGCAGTGTGTGGGTGCTGTAATGCGGTGTGTGTGGGTGCTGTAATGCGGTGTGTGGGTGCTGTAATGCCTGTGGGTGCTGCACGCCTGTGGGTGCTGTACGCCTGTGTGGGTGCTGCACGCCTGTGGGTGCTGCGTCTGTGGGCGCGTGGCTTCCCGTGGTGCTGTGTCTGTGGGTGCTGTGTCTGGGTGGGTGCTGAATGTTCGTGGGCGAAAATGTCTGGCGTGGGTGCGCATGTGGGTGCTGTATGTGTGTTGGTGCTGTGTATGTCTGTGGTTGCTGTATGTGTGTGGGTGCTGTGTATGTCTGTGGTTGCTGTATGTGTGTGGGTGCTGTGTGTGTCTGTGGGTGCTGTGTATGTCTGTGGGTGCTGTGTATGTCTGTGGGTGCTGTATGTCTGTGGGTGCTGTGTATGTCTGTGGGCGCTGTGTATGTCTGTGGGTGCTGTATGTGTGTGGGTGCTGTATGTGTGTGGGTGCTGTGAATGTCTGTGGGCAGTGCTGCATGTGTCTGTGGGTGCTGTGTGTGTGTGGGTGCTGTATGTGTGTGTGCTGTATGTCTGTGGGTGCCGTGTATGTCTGTGGGTGCTGTGTATGTCTGTGGGTGCTGTATGTCTGTGGGTGCTGAATGTGTGTGGGTGCTGAATGTGTGTGGGTGCTGTGTGTGTGTGTGCTGTGTGTGTTGTATGTGTGTGGGTGGGTGATTGTGGGGTGGAGGTAAAAGGTTATTATTATTGCTATCCCTTCTTACCTTTGCAGGTGAGGGGGGGATCGCGTTGCCAAGCTTCCTGGTGGTCTGTGAAGTGGAGGAGGGGATCCTTGCTGCTGTGATCCTGGTGGTCTGCGTGCGGAGAGTGAACTCCCCAACCCTGGGTTATTACTGCTGATTTGAGCGCTACTGGCAACGCCATATCCGCCGCGAGTGTTCACGCGAAGCCGCCCGCACAGCCCCGCTGGTGCTCCCGCCTCCCGCATGCGGTCGCGGAGAGCAGAGCCGGCGCTCGGATAGCGCCGGCTCTGCATGAGCCGACAGGGGAGATCCTGAGATCTCCCCTGCCGGTCTCAATATACATAGGCGTGCCGCGGGGATTAGGGTGTGCCCAGGCACACCCGGCACACCCCGTGCGCACGCCTATGCCTATAGGATAGTTACTGTTTGGGCGATTATCTTTCAGCTGGCAACAAGTTATTTAACTCCAAATGATGCAATGAGTAGCTTCTCATTTTTTAAACAACCACGTCGAAAGACACATACCGTGGTCGTGGAAAAGATGTTAGTCTGTTTGAGAAGGGTCAAATCATTGGCATGGATCAAGCAGAGAAAACATCTAAGGAGATTGCAAAAACTACTAAAATTAGGTTAAGAACTGTCCAATGCATTATTAAAAACTGGAAGGATAGTGGGGAACCACCAGTGATGGGTGCATCAGGATAAGAAGAGAGGCAGATGAAGTTATTTCATTCCTAGTGCCTACTGTGCCCCTTTTTTTCTATACTAGTGCCTACTGTACAAGTCTGTGGGGGCACCGCTATCAACTGGGGTTGCTGCAGTTGGTCAAGTGTAAGTTCAGCAACATTATGTGCCCAAAAAATTAGGTCAGCTGACTACCTGAATATACTGAATGACCAGGTTATTCCATCAATGGATTTTTTTCTTCCCTGATGGCACGGCATATTCCAAGATGACAATTCCAGGATTTATCGGGCTCAAATTGTGAAAGAGTGGTTCAGGGAGCATGATACATCATTTTCACACATGGATTGGCCACCACAGAGTCCAGACCTTAACCCCATTGAGAATCTTTGAGATATGCTGGAGAAGGCTTTGCACAGTGGTCTGACTCTCGCATCATCAATACAAGATTTTTTTGAAAATTTAAAGGACCATTATTGTGGCAAAACTAGCCACTGGAGACTATTAATATATGTTTGTATTCTTGCTAAAGCTGTAGAGACCAGTGCCGGATTGTATTTGTATTTCAGGCGAATGAGGGCATTCGTATGCTGGCGGTATGAAAACCCCAGCATTCATACTGTAGTTTCACGAACAGTGAGTTTAAACACTGTTCGTGAAACGAATAACTTACCGAATGCACGACCACACACAGGAGGTCGTGTGGTGCCCATTAACCGATTGCAACGTTGTTGCAATCGGTAATTAAGTGTGTTTCTAGGTGGCCGTCATTTGACTACCGACCACGCAGCGGTTGGCCATCTTGGTTCCTTTGTTAGCCCAGCGGGGTTTTGTCGTTGAGTGCCTGGAAACAAAATCGGCTACTCGACGGCGCGAACCCCGCTGGACTTCCAGGCTGTTCGGGAGCCCCGGCCGTTCGGGAGGTTGTTCCCCTGATGTCAATCGGTATTTTGAGCAGAACTTGAATTTCATGTGTGTTTCGTGTGGCGTTCGGTTAGTAAGGCTGGGATCTGAGCGGTATTCTCACGAACTATGCGCTCAGACCCCAGCTATCTACCGAACGTCCATTCGTTTAAATGAAGGGAATATTATGGGAGATATGTATTTTAATGTGAAATGTAAGTTCTGCTGCACGGAAGTTTAATCCACGTAACGGTATATTCTCGTGGGAGTATCCCTCGCGTGCAGCAGTGCTGGTGGGAAAAATGCATGTATTGTACAGTTCCCCATGTAGCACCACTGTACCACCACTGGAATGTCAGTAGGGAAACCCCTTGCATGGGGAATCACATAAATACCGTGACCTGACAATAAAACCTCAGTTGACCTCCAAGCTATGTGTCGTCTAGTTCTTGGGAGGAAGGGATTGTAACTACGCTACCTGGATTTAACCTGCTTTGTGCCTGCTTGATTCTGTCTGCCAGCGGAGATACCGTGGATAATACTACTACTCCGCTACAATTATAGTGCCAGGAAAACATACTCGTTTTCCTGGCACTATAGTGGTCACCTTCCCACTGGGCTCTGGAGAGAGGAAGGGGTTAAAATCTTACCTTTCTCCAGCGCCGGGCGGGGAGCTTTCCTCCTCCTCTCCTCCTTCCTAGTGACGTCATCGGCTGAATGCGCATGCGCGGCAGGAGCCGCGCGTGCATTCAGCCAGTTCATAGGAAAGCATTTACACTAGAGGCTCTAGAGGCTGGATTAACCCTCAGTGTAAACATAGCAGTTTCTCTAAAATGCAACACTGATTGGAAATA